GGGTTGGGACTGGGGCTGGGGCTGCTGCGGTGGCTCGAGTGTCCATCATCCATGGCCTGGCTGCGTGCTTGGGTTCCAAGAAGGTTCAAGAGCAGACCGCGCAGAGCCCCACCCGTTGCCCTCCTTCATGCCTCTGGCGCTTATGACGATCTCCTTCGCTAATTAACAAAAGCTGATTATAGTCTCTGTGTTTTGTCTATCATTGCTGGTATCATTAGACAAACCTGGGTCGTGAAATCATTTTCCTTATATTAATAGAAGCCAAAGTGGTACAGTCATAATTCCCGAGGCACTTTCTTCTGAAAATCCTTGCCGCTCCATTGGTCACCATTTGCTCCGTAGTTCTTTCCCTGGGGGCCACTGGCCTCCCCCGCCCTGCTCTGCACCCTGTACTCCAAATCCATCCATTACCTTTTATCACATGGAATGTGTTGCCCTGCGTTCAGACCGAGCTGCAAACGTCTCACGACTGGAGTCAGTCCCGCGAGAATGACCACCCACCTCGTCCCTCCCTCCCTCCCTCGCTTCTTCAAGGAATGTGCCGATAATCTCGCTCGTCCTTCCCAGCTTCTAATTTCGTGGCGACCTTTTGTCGCTCGTCCTCCTCCTCGTCCTCGCCTTCGTCTTCTTGTTCTTTTCTCCGTGTTCGTATGAGGCCTACGAGCTTCAAATCATAAGTCCTTGGCGTGACATTCGACCACCCTCGCCGCTCTGTTCAGACAGCATGCACGCGGCCATTTATATGTTCTATGCAAGCCTTGTGTCGTTTAGCCCCCAGGGTCCAGACTGGCCGCTCGAGTAGACGTAGATCGCAACTTGTTTGGCATAAAAGTCAACCTCCCAAAATAATATCATCATCACCATCATCATCGAAAAGATGTGGTGTTGCTGACATTTTTGCGCATAGGTGATGTTCAGACCTATTTTGCCTTTGATCTTGCCTTCTTCCATTCATTATAGAACTCGAAAATTTGCTATGCATGGGTCATACTCAGTGGAGGTATATTCCGGCAAGCTTTCGAAAAAGTCTCTTTGTGTTTGTGACAATTAAGAACTCTTGCCCAACATTTTTCAACCAGTCCAAAGACGAATGATTGATTTAATTGTATTTCAGTTAAAATTTGGTCTTCCTGTTGAGTTATATGGTCCTGTTGAAAATTAGCCTTATTTATTCCAATAAAAATGATTTCGATGTGTAGATAGAATAACTTGTATACAACCCTTTCTACTAGTAAGGGGCCAAGTAAATTAACAAAAAATGTGTATCGAACCCAACACTTGTTTAGTTTCTTCACTATGTATAATAGCTCTTCAATATTATAGTTTGCTCACGACGTAAGCTATGAACTATCGAAGTCAAATACTTACATATAACAAGAGAATCATGTGAACCGATTGCTCTCTCCTGTGTATAACACTAACTCATGCTTTTTTTATAACAGTGTACACATGTTAAAAATTTATTACAAAGTAAGTGGATTTGAAATTCTTGCCGTCTAGTTCCTCACTCTTTCTCATGAACATCATGAAATTTGTATTAATATTCTCCTTGGCTGCTACAGTTTCATTTTCTGATATACAAATAATGTATAAGATACCGATCTATGCAGCTGAAGCTTAAGCTAAAAACAAGATAGATATCAATTATTTAAACAAAAACTCTCTTAGATGTTAACTAGACTTGTAGATTAAATTATTTGGTATATCATCCGTTCCAATTTTCAACACTGATCGGTATAAGCATCGCTTATGTTCATAATTTAAATCATATCATACATATACCATTCCTAGTGTAATATTTCTTAGAGATCCTAATGCAAAATGTGAGCATAATGCAAGTTCGATTTTAATTCTTCTACTGACATGAAACGACTTCATGCGTAATAATAATTGTCTCCACAATCTCCTTGACTGGACTTGGCTGAGCATCTAATAACCATGAACCGGAGGATACAAGTTTTGTTCACATCATGAGCTGCTAATCTAATACACAAGTCACATGCTTATGGAATAATTTCATCTGCCTACCTTGAGAATTGGTGAGCTCATATAACCAGAAATCTCCTAACTAGCTCATTGCTAGACATGCATTTCCTAACCAATTGGCCAAAACGTAATCTGGGAGATCCATTGTGACCAGACTCACAACACATTCAACTAAAACAGCGCTTATGTGTGACATTTATTGCAGTGTATAGGGATGTTGATCTTCTTAGAGCATCTGATTATCCAATCCCATATGTCCTACTTACATCATAAGCCAGTAACAAAAATTTGATGGTCTGCATAAACTTACTCTCAAAGTCTTTGATGTAGTAAGAACACATACCTTGAAAATCGGCAATGCCACTTTGCTTCAGCAGCAAGGAAATGAATTGGCAGATCAACATGGTCTCCACCTCAACATTGGCATCATTTGACCCAAATACATTTCGTGTTCAACTTTTGATCAAAGATAAGATTCATTGTCCAGTAACTGCACCCCACAACAAAACAAGCCCAAGTTGAATATCCTCATGAAGAGAAACACCAAAAGATGTTAGAAGATAATCACCATCTCTTTAACTTAGACATGTAGCCGAAAGGAAAACTTTAAGGAAAAATAAAGTAAGAGACAACTATCACTCTGTTTCAATATCTCCCCTTTTTTGACTAATGTAAATGAATGCATACCCAGCTTGGAAGCAATATTTTGGATCTTTTAGTTTTATCTGTCTTAGCTGAAGTTCTTACTGCTCGCTGTGATATTCACGGGGAGACTTTTTGGTAGTAAAATCCAGATGGCTGATGGACCTCCACTAAATTTGGACCAGACCAAAGCTTCAGAATTTGTGCATCGCTTTTCCAACACTGTAGATCTTTGGGCGGCTGATGCTCTGAGGGAGTGAGACTTATCGTAAAGATCAACTTTCCTTTGTGGGCAAATTATGATCATCATGATCTGATGAGATTACTGATATAGCACTCGAGTGCTCATTCTTTGGGTAGACAGGTGAACTCAAGACAGACCGTTGCAGCTTCAAAAGTACTCCACTGAGACTCGAACAAATCAGTAGTTTCTGGGGGAAAAGCTTACAAGCCTCCCGAGTCCCTAGCAGTGCAGAGTTCATACTTCCAATAGGATTTGTCCGAGTGAACCGGACAGATCTGATTCTTACTGTCTCCCGCCCCCTCTTCTTTGCATGAGTGTGGGAGATCATTTCTCGACCCTTCAATGATGGACAGCGTGTTGTTGTTGGTGTGCGAGGGGACTAGAGAGATGGAGGTCTCGGAGCGAGAAGACACACAGGACACAGTAAAATCACAAAAAGGAATTGAAATCTCGGTGCTACATGTGCTTTACAGATTTTCCGGATGATTCTGGGATGGCATTTACACTCCTCAATTCCTCAGATTTTTATTTGCCCCACGCTACTCTATCTATCTATCGACCTTTCATCATTTCCTGCCTTATTTACTAGCATTTCTTTTGTCTGTGCTCATGCTCTTGCACGTTTGACACCGAATTGCCTACAATGGCATCTGCCCCTAGGGCACGTGAACGTCTTCTCCACCGTTTTTCCGACCGTTCTTCAGCCTATGGTTATGATTGACAAGCTCTTCGTCAAAACTTTCCAAAAAAAACTTTTGGTTCTCACCTTAAGAGTCCGTGATTCCACTGGGTAGACGGACAAGAGATGACAATACACGTTCACAAAAGCAAGAGATAATTCACTACGACTCCGTCCGACGTGGTACGTTGGTGTACTTCAGGGTATATACGTGGATACACCTTCAGAAGCGTCACACACCGAACGTCACTCCTTACGTCGACATACTTTACCAGAAGAGCTGTAACTATGTATACTTACGTAGATTTTTTGCCCTCAGCAAACTCTTAGTTTCCTTCACTGACGATCATTGTTTGCTCAGAAAGATACCTCGAAATGTTTGAAGGAAGAGATCACAATCTCTGACTTCGAAGGTAATGTTGCATGTCTGGGTAGTTGATAACGACGAATCTGACATTTTACTTTCGAAAATCCGACCAGCCAGAGGATATACCAGCCAGTAGATCCAAGTCTTTCCTTGACTGCGACTGGTGAGTACTTCAGTGCTCAGGTAATGTTGGTATGCCTAGAGAAATCCATCAACGTAAGATCTACTTGTAAAGTATCCTACGATCCAACTTCTGACGGGCCATGTATCCAATCTCTGAAAGTGCATTAACGAGTGGGTTCGTCAGTCGCAACCGTAGCTCCTATTCAATTACACGGCTGTCTTGAAGCAGTTGGTTTACCAATCGTTGATTTTTTCAAAAGAATGGCATAGGAAAGTACTGTATGTTTTATCGAACATATACGTTTTGAAGAAAAATTCCGAACTATATGCCGTTTGCTTTTGCAGTGCTGTCAACTCCTTGTGACGAAGATTGATTCACTTCAAAAGCTAACGATAAAAATCTGTGGAGCATCTCATATTATACACTTGCAAACGGACTACTGCTCTTTCTCTAGCTAGACTCAAAGTGGGCATGACTCTCAAACCAGGACCGGAGAAACTTCCAGCTTATGATTACAACTCTAAGACACTCTGCATCATGTACACAAATAGATCTCACTAAGATCGCAACTACCCTAGTATAGTTCAGGCTACGGTCGAACGGACACTGTTCCTGAAGATGTGTCTCTTGTTCAGATCTCCTGTAGTTGGCCGAAGATGACCGAGGAAGTAGTAGGTAGACTAATATTTAAAACTAACTTGGAATCATTTTTAACTTTTTACATCTGAATCTGCACGTTAGGCCCACATAAAGAAGGGCATTATCGTTAATGCCTAATCTACCGTACGACCATGTACAGACAAGGCCTTTAGTTCTCCAAAATAATAACAGCGTGAGCCGCTGTTATGGACGACAAGACAGGAAACGTACTGCAAACACTAGACTAGCAGGCAAGAGTCAGCAAAGGATTAAGGGCTCGTAAATCAAGCTAGGCCCACACCACATAAAACACAGGACGAAGTGATAATTTGATGCTTCCGAGGAGTCTCGACTTCCTTTATTGTGAAAGAAGGATACCCAAAAGACTAAAATCTGCCGCCAAAAAAGCTCTCATACGGACGTGCCTATTTCGTGGGCTCCGCAAGAACACCTACTATTGGTGGTTGTGCAAGATCCGATCCCCTGAAATAGATCACTGGTACCTCATTGGAAATTGACTACTAACTAAGAGCTGAAATCAGGTAAAAGTCGGCTGAATTTCACGGACTTTTCTGTATTGGACTCCTTCAATATGGAAGAAACATTCGGCTAATTGGATCCGAACAAGTTGTTTGTCTCTATTCTACTTAACCAACTTGCGTTATTGGATTTCTTGAATTTTCTATCAACGTGGGTTACAATAATCTAAATCAAAATCTTTAATACAAACCTAGGAACTTCCACCATAGCCCACCAACAACTGACCACACCAAGATGTTCCACACTGCCATGATAGCTCCCAATCTAAAAACATCTGGAAGTTCGACATAACCGGCTGCACAGCAAAACACCAACACACGTTGTGTCACACAAAGCAGACAACCGAATAATTGGATAAAACACTTTTCCATATAATAAGACTCCTTGGCACCCATAGGCCATCGTTGACTGCAGCCTGGGTGACTACTGCTACCTAGTGTAATCCATATGAATCTAGGCTTCGAGTTAAGAATATCGGTGCAGTTATTCAAGCTCAGCAAAGTAATTACGGAGAGAGGATTTACTTTTTAAATTTAGGCCAGTAGGACTCAAATGAGCAACCTGAGTTTCTATTAGGTAGAGCATCCAAGTCTATTTACGTCTTGGTGCTGACAAAATCAACTTCTGTCAAACAGTAAAGCAAAACACAAAAGAAGGCCTTTGCAGGCTGTTCCTAAACATCGAAATAGGTTCGTTCATATTGTTTTATACTGCGGATGTATACGTCTTTCGTTTGAAAGAAAAAAAAATGTATCAAAAAAATGTATCAAAAAAATATCATTTGAAGGGTGTCTTTAAAAAACAGCTGCTAGTATCAATCTTGGCCGCGACGATGTGCTTGGTGAAACTGTAGTAGGCTGATGAAACCAGGGATCACAAAAATTTTAAGACTGAAGTCAAAACACTCATGTGAACCACGTGAAAGGAAGGAATTAGCTTTCCACACTCGTAGATAATCTGCGGATACCCTGGCCCTGAAATATCACTCATAAACTCGAAGTACCCCAAAATCATGAAAGTTAAATGTCCGAAACCGGGATGATAACCGCAATAAGCGGTTACGTCACTTCAAGTTCTGACCAAGTAAGGGCTGAAGATTTACAGCACCAACAAATGTGGACATCATGCATCCTTCATGATATTCATTTCATTTGATATCAGTGTGTCTTGCCGTCAATTATACAAATACATATGGCTAAAACAAATATTCACATTAAGAAGCACGGTTTTGGTTGTGGGAGTTTACATACCTCCAAAGTAGACAGCCGCCTGACCACTGCTGTAATGAGTGAGGGCACCAAAAAGATTGGTGTTGAATGCCAGAGCCAGTGCGGCAAGTACTGCAGGAACTCCAGCAGCAAGTTGCATGGCTAAAATAGCAGAATACAAGGCACCAACGTGGCCGGTCTGGCTAGCAAACAGGTAATGCGATAAAAAGTAGACTGCTTGCAATATTCCGAAGGTTGCGGGCCAGCCAAGGGAGAAAGAACCGAGGAATTTTCCGACTGAATCAGCCATGAACTGTACCAAGCCCAAGCTAGTCAACTGGCTCGCCATTCCCACAAGGACTGCAAACCAGGCCAAAGTGTCCCAAGCTGATTTTTCAGAAAGACAATCATCCCACTTCAACACTCCAAGCGTAAGGAGAATGGACAATCCCAGCATAGCTGCTACCACGCTAGCAACTCCCAATGCGTCTCTGTCATCACATCCCACTTCAACAGTGAGTAATAGATATTCCAGCTCGCTAATGTATCACATTTTACAACTTTCGGATATTAGAGAAAACTGAAGTCTAAATATAATTTGAGTTGATGCTCTTGCGAGAAATAGCGGACTAGCAGTACTGAAGCTAAACCTCAGAACTATTGTCAAAATTCGATTCGTTCTCATTCCACGTATCGACATGTTTAAACGGTGCCACGAGATTCCTCTTGAGTAAAGTATGCGCTTAAGAATGACACCATATCTATACAGTAATATGTGAGTGAGGCGAAAAGGAACTTACCCGAATACCCACAGGGTTACAGCCAAAAGCATCGTTCCAACCATGACCCACTCAGACTGAGTGACGGGACCTAGAGCTTGCAGCTTCTTCTCGGCCATAGCAGGGGCATCTGGTGTGCTTTTGATCTCTGGGGGGAAAAGATTGTACATGATAAGTGGAGTAGTCAGCATTGCAACAATAGCTGGCACACTGGCAGCTTGAAACCAGGCAACCCATGGATTAGCAATATTTACGCCGAGCTCCTTGGCAAGATTCAGGCAGAGCAAATTCTGGGCAGCTCCTGTCAAATACATCGCGCTTGAGTTGCCCGCAGCCTGCACACAACAAAAGATGTACTAAAAATTAGTCACGAAATCAAAAGACGTCAGGAGTAGTGGATGTCTACAGCAGCTTCAGATAGCTCTATGTATATAAAATCTGGATAATTCCTCATCCGATAATTTTCCAACAATCGTATTTAACCACGGACATGGCGCTCCGTATGTGACATTTGATGGTAGAAGCTAATATGATGTTCCAGCATTACAATCATCGGTGAAGCTAGTACTTCGCCAAAAGTGGCCATGAAAAGCTTTGTCTGTCTGCTACTCAGAAACCCTAGACTTCGATTCTCTCGCACAATAATGACTTGTTAATGGGAGCGTGATTTCGTCTCTGTTATCTCAAGCCATGTTCAGCCATGTTCAGGTACAAATGAAGCACAGTGGAGAATATGCCTGAATCGTTGACATCGGAACCGTATCCATCAACACTATTAGTTTGATTGTTAACATTCTCACGTGCATACATTTAATATTCTCCTATTGAAGAAGTCTCCAAGACCTTGATAAGAGCTATCATAGCTGTTGCTTATTGGGCACGTGATGACTTCTATAGATATCCATCAAGTGTATAGGTGACATATACAAGAACTGTGAAATCTGATGAGACCTAAAATAAGATATTTGAAAAATCAAAGCACGTGACCGTCGCGCTTATCTTCTTCAAAAACAATTACAGGTAATTCTTAAAAGAGAAAATTGAGAAGTGTTACTCATGGAGATATATCTCTAAAGACTGACTGTAGAGGTGTCCAACGTACACATTAGGAGACTTGAAACTTCCATCCAAATATTCTGCTGTCTATTCTCGCAGGAACGGTTAAATTGCCAATTTTTTGGAAGAAGGGAAATTCAGCTAAAACTACAATAATAGCTCTCAAGGAGTATATGGTCAGAAAGAATAAAAAGGTAGTCACCTCAAAAGAATCCATCACTTGCATGATGGATTTGTTTTCAACATTGCAGAGGTCTGGAGCAACTTACAAATTTCTTCCTGAATCTTCATGGCGAAACTAGTTCTTGGAAACTTAATACGTTGGAGATAAAGTTATAGGCATCCTTCGTTCATGAGAGGTCCAATCGAAGCGTGTGGTGACTACGAGAACTTGGTAAAGACTAGAAGCAGATCTTTGTAAGATATTCTTCATGTGACGTAAGGATCTGATTACCTAAGGTATTACAACTAGAATTTGACCAGACAGTTCACAATCACAAACAACGTATACATCTGAATAATGAGCTTCTGTGATCGTTTGATACTCTCGATCTACCTGACATTAGCGAGAGGACAACTCTGCCAATACTAAAAGCAACTGGCAGTATTGCAGACATGGCAGATAACAGGGAAAAAAGCTTTACTGACTACATAGAAATGGCATTTCGGTTTCTTCGCTAACATAGCATCCAAGCAGTTCTTCGAAGTCAACCTGTACAAAAGAATGTCGATTTATACATATCAATGGAAAAGAATCGAAGGCCCACCTGAAACTGAGTTTGAACAAGATATGCTCCGAGCTTCTTAGAACTTTTATCGTTAGGATGGCTGTCGCTGGCAAGAGACAGAGATTGAATGATGGGAAGGAAAACGCCTCCTGCTCTTGCGGTTGTACTTGGCATAGCGGGGGCAATGAGAGCCTCGGCGGCAGTCAGACCATATGATAATCCGAGCGTGCTCTTGCCCAGCCATTTCACGAAATAAGTCGCAACCCGATCGCCGAGCCCTGTTTTGACGAAACCTCTTGCGAAGAAAAATGAGATCACGATCAACCAGAGAACCTCATTAGTGAAGGCGCTGAAGGCTACTGCGAACGGGAGAGTCTTGGTCAAAACTGTGACGGTGAGTCCGAGGAATGCCCAGGCACCCACAGGCAGAGGAGCCAAAACAAGCCCGGCAATCGTCGACAGGAAGATGGCGAACAATTGCCAAGCTTGGGCTGTGACAGCAACAGGCTTCGGGACTAAAAACCTTATAATGAGACCGACGGCGACGGACAGGATCAGAGGTATAGGTTTGGCTCCCTCCCACGCTTTCGGTGGAGCTTCTACAATTTCCTGAATGCCGTCATCGATCGGTGCACCCTCAGCACCAAGTTTCGCAGCGACGGGCTTGAGAATCCTATGAGAGGATCCAAGTCCGCTGGCTACAGGTAAAAGGGGGGCGTACATTCGATTAGAAGGAGGAGGCGATGACGACAACGAGGAGGAGGAGCGGGATACGATGGATCTTCGCCTGATAATGGATTGGGTTTTGAATTGAGCATACGACGAGGAGGAGGAGGAGGAGGAGGAGGCTGACGAGGTCCCTCCCGCGAAATTACGCAAGCGGGGAGAATGCCTGCGACCATCAACGCAAGGCGACTGAGACAGGAGAGTATAAGACGCCGAGACAGCGAAACTCATCGCCATTTCGGAAAACCAGCCGATCAGGAAAGAGAGGCAAGAAGCGAGGAGGATATTCTTGATCGCAACGCACTAAATCAATCAGGCCGACCGACCGGACTGCACTGCCAGGCGCGCGCGCGCGCGAGACACCGCCTCCGGATCTTATCTTTCCGCTTCGACGGAATTACCACAGAATCATGAGCACCTCTCCGCCCTCCCTTCCTGCGGCCCCGCTGCCTGGCAGCCCCCCTGCTCGAGCCTCGTGAAGCACCTCCCTCCTCCGTCAGCTGTATGGCTCCCCTCCCCCTCCGCCTGCCTCTTCCCGATCGGTGGGAACCAGCGCTTCCCTTGTGCAGTGGAGGAGTGGCTGCGGACTGACTCGCTTTCCTCGCACCTGCCCCTCCTCTGTTTTGTTCTCGCTCGCTCCCCCTCTCCCCCTCTCCCCCTCTCCCCTCGCTCGTCCTCAGCCGCAGCCCCTCTCTCTTCTCTCTCCTCTCTCTGCTCTGCCCCTTCCTCAGCCCCTCGCTCGCTCAGCCCCTCCCCCTCCCGCTGCCTCCCACCTCCGGTTCCGCTTTCCGGCCCCGGCCGACCGAGAGAGAGCCCCAGCCCCTGCCCCTGCCCCTGCCTCTGGCCCTCCTCAGCCGCTCGTCGGCCCGCGCTTTTTACGAGGCTCGGCTCGGGCCTTTGGCGTTTTCGGGCCCTTTTGGGCCCGCGACATACCGGCCGCTTTCGGGACGCATTCGCGAAACGTTGGCTGGCGCGCCCGGCGCTTGTGGCGCGTCGAGCGCTCTCGGGCTCTTTTGAGAAGGGGGTTGGGGGAGGGGGTGGGGGGCTGGGGCTGGGGGTCTACACAAGCACCGGGCGGGCCTGGGCGTTGGGCCTGCGGGGAGCTACGGTTGGGGCTACGGACGAAGTAGCCACATCCGGGGCTGATGTGCATGGTGCTCATTCGCTTGCCTGCCCAGCCTTCGCGGACTGCCCCCGAATCGAATGAATGAATGCACGCACGTCCTCGCGATGTTCATGCACATCGCGTCTCGAAAGCGTTCTCTTTCGCATGAACCTCCTGCTGCGGTGTCTCGATTTAGATCGCCCCCGGACTCAACCATCGGCATGTGCAAAATACGCATCGAGTGTATTTCACGGGCCCTCCATGGTCGGCGAGGATGGGTCCCCTCGGAGATATGGTTGGCTAGAAAAATCACGGCCTATCGCATCCTCGGATCCAAAGACAACCAGAGAAACCTCATTTTGCAATCTATGGTAAATGCATTGTAGCCACTATTCTGATTCGCTGTCTGGAAAGCTTCGACTGTTCGGATAAACTTTGTGTCTTCGATGTCAATTGAGGTCGCTTGCTCGCATCCCTTTTTGCTATAATACTCGGTGCCCCCCTTGCTTTCGGAAGGGGCACACAAGAAGATCTTTTTTTCACGGGTTTTCAATCTCCATCGAGTGCTCTTTCGATGCGAGTGAATGAGCACCTTATCCTCCAGCTCTACACTTCGGCGGCGAGAGTACTGGGCTTTCATCTGGCTTTCCGACGATGCACTCGTTTCTGTCACCTTCTGTGGAAAGACGAGGATCAGCTTACAATCACTGGAGAAGATACCTGTCTAGATACGGCTCAACATTTAAGGGGGTTGAGAACAGCAAACAAGCATGAGATGCACGTCAATTCTATAGTAAGCTTCATGGCCAATTTTGTACTGACTGGTTGAATCATTCCAAGCACGCTCTGGACTCGTATGAATGCCAGTCTACGACTGAAGTTGTTTTATTCATATCATATTGTCTGGTACTATGGCATACTGTACAGTTTTACCCTCGTTCGAATTCCACCAGAAACAGTTCTTCTACCATTCGAGGCTAAGCTGCATACGGTAGTACCATGCAGACTTACATAGCTGTCAAGTGGGTGCACCATACCCACGAACCCCAGACGTCGTCGAATAGTAAGAGGTTGTCTCTCTGGTAAATCTATTGACTCTTCTCGAGGACAGTGATGCGGACTCTCCCATGTAGACCAGGTCATCGATAGTTTTACGATTTCGTGCCTTTTCATTGTTCTCTGCACTTGAGGTGACGCATCTTAACATAAGAATGAATATGAGTGAATTCGATAGTTTATTTCTGCGTGGACGTTCCGATGCACATATTCGTGTCTAGCATTCTATGGGGTTTCAGTATGTGTGCACTGTCTCCAGAATAATCCGCATTCTGTTCTTGGACCTGAGAAAAGGTGCAGACAATTATTTTCCGCGATTGCCACCATGTAGACTTCCTTTAAATTCTGTAGTAGCTGACGCTTGGTTCTCCTGAATTCACAACCTATCCCAATTGTTCTTTTAGACAAGAGAATCTTGACTGTACCGTGTCCTGTCTCGCCCTAGGCTATTAGGAGCATCAGGTACTCACCTTCAAGATGTCAGAACCATTCTAGCAACTGTCCACATGAATGGTCACTGCTTCGGAAATTTATGAGGCATCGGGTGACTTATCTTTAAGTTTGCGACGGCGGGTGGGACATTTAATGTCACTTGCAAGTAAATTTGCGCTCCCGTAACTCAAGCATATCGTGTGAAAGCTATATTGTAACTTAAATCCATCCGATTACATACGCACACGAAGTTATTGGTGTACACTCGCAAAGATTCGACAACCCCAAAAAACATATATACCATTACCGGCAATGAGGTACGTTAATTGCTGCGGTATACACCATTGTATGTGCATGCAAATCACGGTTCTAGCAGCTTATCACTGACACGCTCTGTTGATTTGTATTTCATCTACTCGTATGCAAGAAGGAGAAGATGACGCAATGTGGTGGGCAATGAGCATTTGAGAGCCAGTGGCCCACGTTTCTGTGAATCGCAAGTCCAATTGGCAGCTTAGCATCGTACTTTTACCACGTATCGTTTTCGGGGATTCCGTTAGATTACATAATCTACTAGAATCTATTGAACAAAGAATCACTTAATGGCATGGGCTCAGGCGCCCCTCTGCAAGGAAAATTGATTATCCACATCTAAAGTGTACAAGCATGTTCTAGTCTGACGCACAAGGTGTGACAGGGTGAAAACTCGAAGGTCGCAGAATGAAGAAGTATGCGAAAGCCCTTGTGGTGAGGTGTTGAATCGACAACATACCAGGATTGGCAGAAGCCCTATGACAGAGCAGATTCTACTCCGCAATCTATTAGCTACAAGAAGCATCAGTCTTCATAAAGAGAAACTACTGTCGAAAATGACCAGCTTGGCTAATAGTTTATACAGGCTTGGGTATCACGGAGTCTGGGGGAGGTTGAGATAGAGTTACAGATCGAAGCAGTTCCAAAGAAAAGACGAGTCCCAAAAAGTGAGAAACCAACGCGTTGGCTGAGGCCTGCAAAAGAGAACGTCAAAACTTGAGTTCTTGTAAGTTTAGATGCCATCTATTATGCCAGATAAGATTTAACTGATGGTGATGCACACATCAATCTGTTAAACAGAAAACAGAACGGTGTCGAGAGCCCGTGAACGCTTCTACATCTCAGTGGAGAAATGGCTTTAAACTACTAGTAACTGATGTTCGCCTTCGAAAATCCCCAACACAACATTACATTCATGCAGGACAAGAGGAATCCTTACAACTAATGAAAAGAAAACAAAGGTAGCAAATAACAAATGGACGACAATCCGTCTGTTCGATCGATGCATTAGCAAGAAGCTGGCAGAAAATCTCTGGTTTCACTAAGGCAGAACCGACGGTATGACGATGGGGAAGTAAGAAATTCATGGCCGCCGCTATTTCTTGATGGCCCCAAAGAAAAAGCATGCATACCACTCGCTCCGACATTCAAGATCAGAGTACCCGAAAGCTGAGCTGAATTTTTCTTGTTAAAAGACAATGCAGGATGAGAAGAGGACAAGCAATATTGTATGATCGAGCCAAATAGAGTTCGAGAGCTGCGTACCTGAACGACGAATACATCCAATGCCAGGACTGGACTGTAGCCTTGACCTTGCAGAAATGGCTGAGCGGATGAAGTCAGGGCCTTGGCAACAAGCACTCCAACTGTAGCTTGCATTCCCAACAAAGTTGCCCCCATTCCCAAAAGGTTGATAACGATTCCATTCTTCAGGTTCTTCACCACTTGAGCTCGAGGAGGGGCCTGCGCGAAGTAGCAGAAATAGAATGGAAAATATCAAAAGACAGATCTTGTAAAGATATTCATACGTTAAATTATCACATAGATTTATGACGAAATTTATCTGCTTCCCTCAGCTCAAAATTCTGCCAACTATACCTTGGTGGGATCATCGATGGTTGCTCTCAACCTTTGCGAGAGTCGCATATATCCAAACGACCAGAAAACCGACAGAAAGGCAGCGACAATTCCAGCCGTTGTAAGATAAAGTGTGACAGGAGCCGTGGCAGCACCTGTGATAACAATAGAAAAGGCTAGGATGATAGCAGATACAACAGTACAGACAAGTTGGCCCCAAAAGCCTAAACTTCCCAATCGTCTGAAGTAGCCTGCAGTTCGTTCCAACCGCTTTGAAACCTGTAAAAATCACAAATTCATCAATTTGATAGAAAAGGGTATTTACGGAACAAGTTCAGCAAGTGTTTTAAGCGTCTCCAAAAACAAATTTTCGGCTCGAGTTCAAGCAGCAGGCCCAGCATATAGTGTGACATTTTAAATACCGTCAGTGCTCACGAGTGAAAAGTGTTAATGAAGTGAATCTAATACTTCAATTTCTCTACACTCCACATCCTCACTGTAAGGATCGACGTATACAACTGATCGTACTCTCTTCTCATGAAGACACTCTCGACAAAGGTACTCTATCTAATTCATGTTAAATCTTTCCAGGTCTGAAACTGTAGTCACCAAAGCCTGAGACTGACGTAATGCGCAGAATGCCAGTATTTACGCGTGTCTCTGTAGCAGTAGCACGAGAAGATGATAATTTGTAACAAACTGCGCGGGAACTGAGACGGCTGTATATCTTTCTCCACTGTAATCCTGATTATGACTGATAAGATTAATATTGTCGAAACCTAGACAGAATAAAGAACTCGGAAAATCAGCAGTTCAGCTAGCATATATTCTTGTTCATGATTTACAAGAAAAGGGATCCTGCCTAAACTAGGCCATTACAGTGTAGAGCACATTAAGGAGAAAGAGCTGACTTAACTCTCCTCTCCCAGTATCATTATTGATAGAAATTTGACAAAACCTGAATTCTTCGTAGCAAAAAAAAATTCACTAGTTAAATTTCATTCCAGCCATTTGATTCTTTAAAATAGGAGGATCTCGGGCTCCCCAAGAATTCGATGTTCGCAAGTAAAGAGATATGCCGATCGGAGTGTGAGATACTTGTAAACATTGTCTTTCTGGTCAAACCCTAGGAGGTGACTGAAATTGTCTAAACGTACAGATTTACTTAGGCATTCAACCTTCATGCCAACTGCAAAATTCATGAAGAAACCTTCAGATTAGATGCTGTTTTCTTCATGATTCCCCTTCATGTTTTGAGCTTTCAAAACAGCAGCGTATGCGAGGGTATGCAAACTCTACCTGAGCTCGTTTATTGACTTCAAGAGGATCATCCGCATCCACCGAAGATACCTCGGCGTTGTAAGCTGCACATATTTTTTCTTTCTTCACATGTCTGTGGCTCTCATTCCATCCAAGGCAGGATCCGAGAGGCGAGACACTAAGTTGAGAACAAGAAGAGAGCTCCTTCCTGATCGCAGTTCTTGGAGCTCGAAAATTCGGAGACAGACCTAACCCAACCGCCCCACTCCTGCCACGAATAACACCACCGACATGACAAGATGGAAGAAATCTCGTCGTGATTCTCGATTGCATGCTCGTCAACCCCACCGAATACTGCATGCTTGCGCCTCAACACCCAACGCCGCCTGTATGCTCCTCCGGCCCACTCACCAATCACCGAATGAATCCGACCAGCTGCTTGCTAACTCTGCCCCGCAGAACAGAAAGAACAGACCAGAAATCGATGAGCAGCAGAATAAGAAACGACTCGCACCAACTTCGAACAAGGCTTCTTCTCCAATGGCGACCCTATCTCGAGACCGACTTATCGCGCACGATCAAGATAGCTCGGGCGCAATGCCGACAACAGTTGTCGACCTCCTCGTCCCCGCTCGGTGCTTGCGCTGCCACCACTCACTCGTAGGCCCCGAACGACTTGGCCTGTCTTGCCCTCCGATCCCCAAGCTCGCCTGCGCTCCTGCTGCTGATGGGGCTGCGCCTGCGCCTTTCCTGTCCCTTCCCCTTGCCCCTGCCCCTCCCCCAACCCCAGCCCCAGCCCCCTTCTCCCCTGCCCCTGCCCCTGCCCCTCCCCGTCGTTTGAACCGGGGAGAGTTTCCGAGGCCGCTGCTTGCGCGTGACACGTACCACCCGGCCACGTGTCGTTTCGTCCGTCCCCGGGGGGCTCCGTCATACAAGCCCGGCTCTGAGATTCACGACTAATCACTAGAACGAGATGCGACGCTGTTTTATCTCGAGCGAACGATCTTTTTGATCGAGCTGCTCGATTTGGATCGAGCTGTTCGTGAGTCATGACTTATGCTGCTGAACGCAAACGCAAGCGAGAGATGACACTTGCCTCGATCACCTGCATTTCCCCATTGCATTTGATATTCGCGTGTCAGGCAGGCGACGTACGTGGGCATTGGACGAGCTTGCAGTGCTGATGTGAAGAGATGCCTCATTTGCAAAGAATATGGAAGTGGATTTGCAAATGTTGAGGTCGTATGGTTAATACAACTTATAGTTCGCAATTTGTAAGAGTTTAAAAGAATGATCGGAATTGTTGTCCATGTTGCAGAGATACAAGAAACTCTACAGAACAGGCCAATGATCACACTTCAGTCAACAGCAACCCATGGTCAGCATTCTTCTCCTAGGTTGCATATCATTCCTTTTTGTCGCCATGCTTTTTGGTGTTAGTCTAAGTTTGGTCCATTTTCATATCGTAGCATGTTATTGTTACCGCATCTAAACAATCAACTTTCAGATAGGGATACAAATTTATCAGAACAATGAGCAAAACCTACTCTGCGCTCGACTACCTTACATCAAGTTCTCACAAAAGCCACGATAATCAGCACTCTTCGATGTTCAATAGCTTAATTTGTTGGGGATTGTTCTAACTCTAATTACCCGAGCAATAATGGCGCTCCCAATAATAACGTACTAGATAGTCTCATTACTGCATCAACTCCTAAATGCCTGCAACTCGGATGCTGCAAAATTTGTACTGACGATGTTGTCATTCGGATGTGTAGGGTACACCCGAACATATGACATTCTAGTTCATGTCTGATATCTTTGTCCTTTAACCGTCTCGGGCTTCTACAAAATCGCAGGCTTGTATATTATGGGCAACCCTCGTGCTATTGAGAGAAGAATTTCTTGACCATGGTCAGAATTTGCTGGGACTTCTGTTATCCTGGAAAAGCTGCAATGACATCTCCCGTCCATTTTCCTTCAATCCACAGACGCTGGGCTTTTCTAGCTTGTGCCATAGCACACTCTACTCCTTCCTCTACTCGAACCTCTTGCAAACATAAGTCTTCACTTCCCCAAATTCGGGATCACTCTCTACCCTGTGATTGATGGGTTATGAGAACGATTTCACTACACTAAAGTCGGGTTTGTCTCCCAAAATCGTTCCGTCTCTTATGTCGATCCAAATTCGTCACTTCTTACGTCGACTGAGGACACGAACTTGAATTTTGCGATCGTAGGCATAGAGGAATATAAGTCTGGAAGTAAGGCTAAGTTGTGACCCGGGTGGACATGTGCCATGTCTATCTGCTTCTACCCTTTCTACGATGAGGTCCTCATAGAATCTCGGCTCACTTCGTTGTTTGCATCATCTATGGTCTCATCTGGTCTCTTCCGACATGCCCCAACACATCTGACACCACCCCTTGATGCACCATAATGGATTCATCAAAAATGTTTAAATACAAGAGAAACGTGACCCAGGTCATGTTACCCTGTGGCTCTTAAGTGTAGGCTACACGGCAGCAATGATTGTGTACTACAGACTCAAGTTTTAGAGCCTATGTGCAAATTTATGTGTTGATTTAATACGTAAAGTTAGTGTGATATCATTGGAAACCTATGTGGAGATTTATGTGTTAATTTAATACGTAAATTTAGAGTGATATCATCGGAATCCAGGGGCTAGGCCCATGTTTCCCGTTTCGAACCTTCTTGATGGGGTTTTCACATCCAATTTAGTTATCTGCTTGGTTCCTTTGGCGGGGGTGGATTGTATCAGATACCTGTACACAGCTGTATATTTTGTGCTGGATACACATAACACTATCTGGTCCATAGTAGAGCATTCGGTGATGCTGAGATGCAGATGGATTAGGACCCATTTTCCATCAGTGCCTAATATTTACCCCTTGAGTTTTACGATCATTAAGACTTCAGAGGATACTCCCATACTCTTGCTCTTCACTTGCTACGAACCCCAAGTTTTTGCGTCCACTATTTCAGGAGATACTAACCCGTCAAAAGTGCAAATCAAGTATCTCTAAGAACACCCTGATGTTTTGGCTCATCTTGTCCCCCGGATCATGTGTAAACAAACACCCCTTGACTCACGTCCATTGCTGAGGTCAAAGGAGGTTGACTTAGAAAATCTACGTCTCCCCGGCTGGTATTTTTTCATCAGCCGTGTTTGTGGTTTCATCTCTAGTTATGAATTAAATCTAGAGTCTGAATAAATTGACTATTTTTATTGATGTTGGTTCCGAGAATATGAAATAACGGGGATAAAGTGGATTCTATGCTATCGGTAACCTGAGCTATAGAGACAATATAGTCATATATATGGAATATATAGTCAATATAGTCATTCTTCTGCCAAGTTAGAGTATCCATACTTTTTTCCAATTTTCTTTGTAAGGATGTTCTGGAGCACTCAGAGTATCCAAAATTCGATGTGCCAAGTTTGGGCTGCTCTCCAGTCTATGTTGTGCTCTGTCTTGAGTATTCCCATGTGTGATTGGATTACACCTGGATGATGAATTCATGGGACCTTCAGGCTTTTGATAAAGATTGTGCACCAGGATTTGACAGGAACATTGAATATGGGCGTTCATAAGGAGAGATAGAATGATCGCCTTTTAGGATAGAAGTCTATGTTGCATTTGGAACTGCATGGCGAAGTTTACGCAACAAGTGCGAACGTTTGCCAACTCGTTACACGATGTACTGTGATTGTGGAGATGTCGTTTCTTCAAATTTCCACCACAACAAAGGAAATGAAAGCTTCTGAACTGCATCGCAGTTTTTTGCAGTCCTGTTCTGGGCGTCACGTTCCTTTCTTGTCAATGCGTAGTTTCATGTGGCGTCATCCTACTTGTCTGAACATGTCTCAACCTCTCAAGCACCAGGTCTAATTATGGCGTATTCCCAATGTCGCACCGGCACGAAGTGTCGATAATCACCTGTGACAGTGTTTCTCGCTTCAGACAAGAAGAACATCGGTTTCCGAAACCTGGAGAAGAGCCACAAAGGAATCGGGTTTGAAATTAAAATACGCAAACATATCTATCAGCCAACAGGAAGCGGATCCAGTGTTCACTTGCCAAGTGACAGATACACATTTATCGATCAGGCATGACGACGAGGAAGGGGGAATTTGAGCCTCAGGAGTTGTACTGTTTTCTTAATTGGAACTGGCAAGAGATCGTAGACACGAGGCCATTGTTGTGTGCCAATCCATCAGCAATCTCGATTGGGTGCTTGTTGCTTCTGCTGTAGCTCTGTAGCGACGAAGGACAGAATTCTCGTGAACTTCTTCCTGGACTCGCAGTTGTTGTCTTCAGTGGAATTTCTTGACACCGGAGACAGTATGCTCTGTTATTATCGGGTTCGCTTATTCTACTAACGGCGTTGCCGGATAGCAAAGCGCATAAGCAGGAGGCGCGTGTCGGCCTATGTTCTGTAGTTTGGCAACTGATCATGTGGGTGAAATTTCTGATGCTGTTGAAGGGGAGCAGAGTGAGCTCTGAAAAGCTTTGGCGTTAAATCTTGTGAAAAGAGATGGAGGAAATAAAGAGAATGCAGGTAGCTGCAGAGCTGATTGAACAGAGTGGAGGCAAGGCTGGAGATATTCCGGAAGCAGCAACTGTCGCTTCGGATTGCAGCTCATGGGGGGTGAATGCCCAGCTGAAGTTCCACCAAGCCGAGGGTGTTGCTTGGCTCATTCGTCGTTATGTCCGGGGCGTCAACGTAATCTTGGGTCCGAATCCATGCTGAGCGTTTTGCGCACTTCGTTCTTGCATTCACGATCAATATATAGCTATTCTTCTGTGGTCCTCTATCATAGCATTTCATAATTTATCACACTGGTATGGTTGTGATGACAGCAACAAACAGTTTAGATAATTTGAAGCAGTACACGGCTTATCTTAGTACGTATGACTTGAATCAAACCGAGGATTTTAAACGTCGGTTATAATTAATGCTGGCGGATTTTAATTACTCACTCAAGGCTCTTGCATTTATTTTTTGATGTTCTCACAGAATAAAATACGCAGCCTTATGTTTTGTCTTTCTGTATGCAGGTGATGAGGTTGGTTAAATTTGCCTACTACAGAAAGTCTTTTCAGTCTTAGACGTTCAGCTGCCAAGCATCTGCTTTGCTGTACGAATCATCATACTAGTCTTCACCTGAAAGAAGTTTCTTGTGTAAGGCTGTGTAAGGCTGTGTTGAGTGGCTGGGGAATTATTTTACGTGCTTTTCCTCGTCGAAAAATTATGAATCACTTCTTCATCATAAATTTTCTTGCACTCGGGCTTTTCTCACCGGTTTTTGAGCTGAAATAGTAGGTATAAAGATGTCAAAGCTGGGCACTTAAAGAGTATTTAGTTCTTATAAGGCAAGCCGGAATGCAGATGGGACTGGGCAAGACCTTGCAGTCGATTACGCTATTGGTCTATTTGAAATTTCAGCGGCACTGTCCGGGCCCTTATTGTGAGTAATTATCCACATATTCTACCCCTTGAATATAGCTTGAGAGTTTTTGAATTGAATTGCCTTAAACTCGATCTTTTCACTACTAAAGATTTGTTCATAAGCTCAAGTTCTGTTCTGCATGGATTGTGCTAATTGCACAATCCTGGCATGTATTTGTCTTACTGTCAAAAGGTTGATTTCGTGTTGATCTATCGCACACTGCAGATGTTAGAAAACTGGGCATCATGTTCTCTTCTCTTCATAATTTAAGTTTTCCAGCTAATCTTGCTTTCAGAGCAACTCATGTACCTAAAGTGTTTGCTTGCTTGCTTCCGTTGGAGCTCAAGTTGCGATCCTATTTGACGTTCCGGTGTTGATGGCAGTAATACTCTGTCCCTTGAGTGTGACTGATGGCTGGGCATCAGAGCTGGAACGATTTGCACCGAAACTAAGGGTCATGCGATATGTTGGTGACAAATTACAAAGAAATAGCATGCGAGATACGATATGTAATTATGTCAACAAGCAATCTCTCGAAACTAGAGTAAGTTTTTCAAACACGATATCATCTGAATTGATCAAAGAAGCAAGATCAGGCCGTTCGATTTTAGACAGAACCTAAGATACATCGAGTCAATAAGAAGATTACTGAGAAGCTTGTTGCAGCATTCAAAGTCTCCTCATTGCATTGTACGGACGTCAAATAGGACGTAAAGACATGCTCATGACCAATTGAGTTTAGCAATATGACAGCTCCTTCAACTATTTCCTACGCCAAAGATGTAGTGTTTTGAGTTTTTTGTGATCGTGCTTGTGTTTTATGTCAATATGTCAACGAATGTCAATTTTTATGTCAACGAATTTCAATTTTGTCTTCTCACGTCCTCCTTATGGTCCTTACTACAGGCTGACCCAGCTTTGCCATTTGATATTCTTCTCACAACATACGAGCTTGCAGTTTTGGATGCGAAGTTTCTGTCTCGCCTTTGTTGGCGGTACTGTATTATCGACGAAGCGCAGAGACTGAAGAACTCTGCCACCGTAAGTTTAGCTTATAGACATTTGTTGATACATTGTACTAATATCTTCAAATAAATTTTTAGCACCAAGGCCTAAATATGTAATCAGTCAGATCCCTACAAAAACTTGAGAAACATCTCCTCAGCATGGATCTTTTAGTCGTTGTTGGTCTGTCCCAAGAGTAATAAAGGGGGACTCATGGAGTGAAAATGTCATCGAACAGAAATGTGACCCGCACCAGGCTTTGGGCAGAGGAGGAATAACTTCCGGTCCAGTATCATTGTATTTGTCCTAATTGTATTTGCGTAATCAGGGAATAGCCGCAATATTGCTGGAAACCGGAAGACAAGGAGCCATCGGACGTGAACAGTAGATTCATTTTTCCTCAATTTTATCCAGCCATATATTACTAGACACAGAAATTGATTTCTTTTCCTTCTCTCCTGCATCTCATTTCTGCGATTTTGCGGACACACAACCATTGCAGGTGTTGTACCGGACTCTGTTGGAAAAGTACATGGTACCAAGACGGCTTTTGCTGACGGGAACTCCAATTCAAAACAATCTTTCAGAGTTGTGGGCTTTGTTGCATTTTTGCATGCCCAGAGTTTTTGGTGGTCGGAAGGAGTTTCTGGATGCTTTCGGGCCTGCTGCAACAGCTACACAGACTATAACCGAGGAAGGTGAGGATGGCATCATATGCTAGTGGAGTGTAGATCATCAAGTACTAGTTCATGCTTGTGTGCTTTCTATCTGTATCAATACTCCGAGAGTTCACTTTTGCACCTGGACTTCCATATGCAGATTCACCAGACAATGATGATTTGAAGGATTCCAAACTTGAGTTAAAGCGTCTCAGACAAATTCTACGGGCATTTATGCTTCGCCGCACCAAAGCGGCTCTTGTAAAAAGCAAAGTACTTTCTTTGCCTCCTTTAACAGAAGTAACCGTGTAAGTTCAAGACCAACTACAACCAGCTATTACGTGCATTCATCGCAGTGGGAGACTCAGATCCTAAGTAGAGCAGCTTTCTGCAAACCCCCTATATGTTAGTGCTTTTTGGGAGGAAAATATACGTAAGTTTTTGGCCCCAGGGGTACTGTCAGACAAAAAAAGGAAATATCCCGATGCTTTCTAAAAAGGACTTCATAGAATGATTTCACGTCATATGGTTTCACGTCGCTTCTCGGAATTCTCCGTTGATTTGTTGTGCCAAGTGTTCATATCATTCCCGTCGACATTCATGCAGGTTTACACCACTTATGCCCATTCAGAAGAGGGTCTACGTCTCGGTACTTAAAAAAGAATCACCCAAAATTGTCGGAAGGAACTCTGGCTCAGCTTCTGGTCCTCCTTTGCAGAACATCGTAAGACCTCTACAAGGCTGCAGGCAGATGCATGTTTGTACCCGAGTTGCTGTAATTCTAAGAGGTGTTATGAACAGTGTTGGTATTGATTGGTCTTTCAGTGGCGTACGTTCTTTCGCTTCCTCTTATGAGATGGTTACTTTTCCAGGTTATGCAATTACGGAAGGCATGCAGTCATCCTTATCTTTTTGAGGGAGTAGAGCCCGAGCCTTTTGAAGAAGGAGAACATCTCATCGAGGCAGGCGTTCTTTCTCCTCTAACCTTCTTGAAATATGTCACCGGAAATGCTATACTTATGCTCTGCCTTTTTGAGTTTTGGTTTTCCTGAGCGTCTCGCATGCGTTGAAACTTATTAAAGTTGTTTCTGGAACATCGAGCTAAGTACCTTCTACAGTAGAAGATATGTGCCCGGATGAACTAACTCGATGTCATGATATTTTGTAACTTTAATCAACGCGTCTGCTTACAGGCTAGTGGTAAGCTGTTGATGTTAGACATAATGCTCAAACGGCTGCATGCTGGAGGTCATCGCGTCTTGATATTTGCTCAAATGACACGAACTCTTGACATTCTTCAGGTTTGTTCACATGCTAAACCTCTCAGAGAAATCGTAATTATAAGTGATCTTGGGAGCAGCAATGATTGAAAAAGATTTTTTGTTACACTGGTCATCGTCCGCGAATTAGAGAACTTTTTTATGTGTGGAACCATTGCTTGTGCTCGTTTACAAACAAGAAGGTTCTGGTTATGTAGTTATGATTCGTATAGGTCGCAAATTTCGACTGTAGAGATTTTCTGCCCGAATGATGTTACTGCTTATTTAGTCTCTCAATGTTCCACATCCGCGCGATCCAGGACTACTTACAATATCGTCAATACACTTATGATCGCCTGGATGGTTCTCTACGTGCTGAGGAGCGTTTTGCTGCAGTGCGGAGCTTCAGTACCGCAAAAGCAGCCTCTTCCAGTGCCGGAACACAAGCTTCTGCAGGGCCTTTTGTGTTCCTCATAACAACTCGGGCCGGTGGAGTGGGTTTGAATCTCGTTGCCGCTGATACTGTAAGCTTGTTCAAGTTCTTCATCCAAGTTTTCGAGGCTGCATCGCCTGGAATGGGTTGTTCGTGGCAATTTATCACGAGTGTATTGCATCCTAATTACTGTGCATCGTCTACTGTGGTCCCCTTTTGAAATTCAGTTCCTTGTTCTGATTTGTTCAGGTCATATTTTACGAGCAAGACTGGAATCCACAAGCTGATAAGCAGGCCTTACAAAGGGCTCATCGGATGGGTCAGATGTCCTCAGTATTGGTGATGAATTTGATCACACAACACACCGTGGAAGAGGTAACAAGTATGATATCAAGTAATCCAAATCCTTCGGCATTTAAATCTGTGTACCACTATATCCGCACCAGTCTTGCACCTTGCTTATAATTGTGAAGGTCCCACCAGTCCTTTTGCGTTATTTGCAGTGAAGATTCTTGAGCTGTCTGCATATTTCTCATCTTCAAAGTCATATGGACTCTGGGCAGGTGATACTACAGCGAGCTAGGACGAAACTCCAGCTCACGCACGAAGTCATCGGTCGTGATGAGGCCGACTTAGAAAAGCATGGTCCTGCTGGTTATGATAATTCAGAAATGCAGGCTATGATTGTTTTCGGCCTTAAAAAAATTGTATCTGATGCGAAGGTTGCGAGCGAGCTTCACGAAAATACTCTAGACAAGGCAATCAACAAGAGGGAGCTAGAAACTATTGTAGATGAGGCTTTGAATCAACGAGCACCATTAGATGACAGTGAGGTGAAAAGAGAATTTCCTACTCATAACTCCCATAATGCACTAGGAGACCTCTCTACAAATCGTCTCATCAAAGTTGAAGATGGTAAGGTGAAGAAGGAGCTTCCTAGTTTAAAATCCTTCAGTGCCCTCGAAGACCTCTCTGCAAATCGAGATATCAAAGTTGAAGATACAAAGCCTGTTGATACCCACGAAGCACTATCGATATTGAGCTCTTTTGTTGATATATATCCAAATACGACCAGTCAAGGAAGAGACACAAGCCTCGGTAAGCGAACTAGAAATCATCCTACACCAGAAGCTGACTTAGAAGCCGTGGTCAAGAGAAACAGAAAAGCAGAAGAGAACAAAAGAGCAAAATGGGCATCGAGTGGTTACAAATCTTTGGCTCTTCCTGACACCTGCGAAGAGACAGGCATCTTCGGGAATGAAGAAGATGAAGACGATTACATCCACTACCTGGTTGGTGATTGCACTAAACCCAGATTGGCACCCGGTGAAAGTGCTATCATCCTCTGGTGAGTTCTTAAGACTTCATGTTCCGTAAAATTGAACGAAGCAACTATTGAACTTCGTGGTAAAGAACTTGAGAACACAAGAGTAGTGATTCTTAAATTTGACGGTTTAACGAGCTACCACCCTACGTAGGACTTACATGGTGAATAAATATTCTCTGTCAGGCTATACAGCTCCAGGGTCTTACCTGTGTTGGTTCATAACGTATGCTAGCAGATATATGGGGAAAGATGAAGAGCTATGTGATTGTTGATGGACTTTCTCACTGTTTTCCTTGTCATTCCTTCTAGAAGCCAACTGCTGTTTTCGAATTTAGGAATCAGCATCAGCCATATTTTCTATATAACCGCAACCATTGAATTTTACAGAGATGGATATTTGGTCCTAGTTATGTTATGTTCAGCCTACTAACACGAGAAATAGAACTTTTGAGGTGGGCTCAGGGAAGAAGCGTCTGGTGAACTTAGTCGAATCTTAATAGTCTCTATGGAATTATTTCAGGTGTATGGATGATTCGGGCACATGGGGTAAAGGGGGGGTATTTTCTGCACTTGCTCGTCTCTCAAAATTTATCCTGGAAGCTTATACAGCTGCTTATTCTGCTGGGGATTTGCATATGGGTGATGTTCATCTTGTTCGAGTACCAGGTATGCTGTTTCATTCCAACCAGAGTAGTCTTGTTTTGAGCTCTACATATTTGTGGTGCCTTCTACGTAAATCTTCCCCGTCGGCACCTAGATTGCTACATACGCTATTTTTATGTTTATGTTTATGAACTGAAATATATGACATTGGAGAGGGTGCTGCTCTGATGTTCTTCTCAGATACTGATGCAACTGACATCATGAACTCATCCATCAAAGCTGAAGATAAACGTGGAGTCTGGACAGCCCTATGTGTGGTGCAGAGCTATGATGGTAGAAGAAAGATTCCTCGAAGTGATATCTCTCTCTCTCACTTTGAATCATGTCTCAAGAAGGTTGCGTTAGCAGCTAGCAAGTGTTCAGGTATGGCTAATTACTGTAATAAGAACTATTTAACTCAGAAATATTGAGATGATTATTCGTGTCATTATCAAAGCGTCCTTAGTTCATCCGCTCGGCATGTTGATTAGTGGTATCGTAACCTTAACATATGATTTTATTCGGGGGTGATTGCAGCATCTATCCACATGCCTAGGATCCATGTTGGCTCTGGTGGTAAACAAGGGTGGTATGTTGTGGAACGTCTACTTAGAAAGTACGCCACTGCATATCATGTACATTTTAACGTGTAAGTCCTTCTAACCTGCCCTGTATTTCTATATGTTTCCTTCAGGTTTAGAAGTTGCACTGTATTGAGATGCTAGATTCTGAACATGTAAATTGTTATGTGTCGAAATACTTCCAGGCCGTTTGCATAGATCTTCAACGAAAATGTGATTTCTTGCAAGGTTGATCTATACTATTATTTTGCCTCACCTGGCGACTTTTCTGCTGACACAGATACTATTTCCAAAGGAAAGCCTCCCAATACGATTGAATTACAGAGAAGAACACAAAAATATACTGGCTCGTTTTCAGCAGCGGCGGCCTTACTGGGACTTTCCATTTCTGTTCCCAACCGTTCCTTTGAGGCGGGCAACCAGGTCGATCTCTTGGAGAATCAAAATGTGGATGCGCAAAGGGTCCCTTCTGATTGGTCCAACCAGCCCACAATATTGGTTCTTCTGCTGAGTTAACTGCGAGATGCTACCTTGATTCGTCACCCTGCTCATAACTGATATCAACGTTAAGAAGTAGGATGAGATTACGAAGGTGATAAAGACTCAATACTACTTTCTAGCGTATTCGATCAATATCACAATATTGTCACTTTTTTTGGCTCATACATTGTAAGTTTATCGAGTGCATGTTATCCATAAATGTTAGAATTACTTCAATCCTTATTATTTCCATGTGTTCGGACTTGTACATTACTGTCCTAATTGTGAGCATTGAAATCTAGTGATTAGTATTCTCCTATGACGGTGAACTCCAGAGGATGCGACACTTCATAGTGATGTCTCCCACTATAAAGGCAAACCACTCTGTGAAGGTGTGATACTCCGTGTGTTTCGCTTACTTTGGTCCCATTCGGATTGGACATTTGAATCCAATTCGGGTCACTCTGATGATCATCAACTATCTATGGAATCCTTCTTCAACTTGTGCGTGAATTTTCAACTTTCATTGCTCTATTGATCCAATATGGTATCAAAGCAGATTCCATTATTATCCAAAGACGCATGAATCAAGACAAGTCAAGAGGACGTTTCTCGCTTTGAATCAACTCTGTCATATCTGACAAAGCAATTACCAGAAATCCCGTTGCACTCCAAAATTCCACTCCGAATTTGACTCTGGTTGATTTTCCTATAGCATATGAAGTGCAGAAAGCAAGAGTTTGTAAAAAACATTTGTCTAACTCTTGTCCCATGTGTTGTTGCTTCATTTGTTGCATTCTGGGCAAACTCATATGCCTGAGTTTAAGGTGCCATTGGTAAATAGTGAGCTTGTATATGTTGACAGCAGAATAATCAGCCTTAGCAGAAGTTGCTCAGGTATTTGTAGAAGTTATGCCTAGCCGAATGAATTTGTTTTCAATAATACAGTGAGCAATTATGCTACCCATCTTGTTCATTAGAATACAATGATCAGGCTTTATCACTAAACTCCCGCGTTGGAGAACTAGCTGAGTTATCGAAAACAAATTCTTATGTATAGCAGTAACAAGTAAAACATCAGGTATTATTATGTTCTTACCATTATTCAGGGAAATTAGAACATTTCTTTTGCCGCCAATGGATTGATGATGGTTTTCGTCTAGATAGATGAACTCCTCTAATGGTAGTTCTGTATCATCCTTTCGATTATATGCCATGTGTTGGTTGGCACCCGAATCCATATACCATGTTGGATCCACCACGATTGAAGAGTGACATACAACTGGTACTCTACGCTTGCATTAGAATGTGTAGAAGAGTTTTCTTGTTTTTTCTTCCGATAGTCATTTGCTAGATAGACTTGCTTCTTGCAGTAAAAACATATTAGTTTTGTCGAGAAAAAGATGGGTTCAATGTACTTTCTTGTCGAGATGAAGAGTAAAAACTTGTGTCATCGGATATTCTTGGTTGCTGTTTTTGCTTAGAGAGATTACACCCTCTTTTCTTTGTGGTATATAGCGTTGTCGTTCCGTTAGTCATTGTTTCTTTCTTCAAGTGTACTTCTTCACGCAGAAGACTGGTGTTGATGGATTGAGCGTATAAAGGTTTGGTATTCGTTAGTAAGATTTTGAAGGAGACAGATCGAAGTTTTTCCATCTAATATGGTCTGTCCTATAGTAATCAATTGGTCAAGAATGAGTTAATACTCTGTGACGAGTGTTACCACAGGCCCGCCTGGTTGCATTTTTAGAGAATGTAACTCTTCTCTCAAATGCACTTGATTTGATATATGACGCGATTCATATACCATTGTCAGCTTGTTCCATGCCTTAGCAGCTATCAGAGAGCATGTAATTAATGGCTGTTGCAGATGTTCCATCGCAATATACAACATTGCCAAAGAAATGAAGTTTTTTCGTCTTATTCCCTCTTACTCCCTAAATGGTTGTAGAACCAAGTGGAGTGATCTGTCGGAACTCCGTACCTTCAATGAGGTCCATCAATCATTCCATTTGAAAGATCCAATTTATATGATCTTTCTAGAAATGAAATCGCTTCCCATCAAATTTGGTAAGATCCTTTCATGTAAGTTGGATGGAAGTTTTTGAAGTAATCATCTTGCTCACAATGTTTGCTAGTTTTCATTTTATTCACGATGTGATGTAGAACGTTGACACCATTTTTAAAAAAATTTGCGAAATTTGAAATTTTGTGAAATTTGTGTTTGAATTTTAATAATCTATAAAAATTGTGTTCAAAATTTTTGAAATTCGAACTACCCTAGTGTTTTAGATCAACATTGACAGTTACTAAACAAATTCGGGCAGTCAAATTCCAATACACATGACCTACTATATCATATTAATTACATGATAATATAATTATATATCATATTATCATATTACCTATCTATCATTGGTCATTAATTGATTCTGTTAGATCAATAGAGACATGAGAGTCGAAAATCCATGCACTGGTTGAGTAAAGATATTATAGATAGTTGATGATGAACAGAGTGATCCGAATTGGATTTAAATATCCAATCCTAGTGGGACCAAAGGATGCAAAGCACACAAAGGATCAAATCTCCACATAAGGGTTTGCTCTTAAATTGGAACAAACCTCTATGAAGGATCGCATCCTGGAGTTAATTGTCATAAGTAATAAGAAAGTACTCATCAATTTATTTCAGTCCCAACAATTAAGATGGTAAAGTACAAGTCCGAACACATGGAAGTAATAGTATTCTACCACTCCCACTTGCTACCTACTTACTTCTCATTTACTCATTTTTATTTAATAAACTCAGATTTTGATTATGACACCAATGACTTTCTATAGCTAATGGTTTTGTCATGATATCAACTATCATGTCTTCAGTTGGGAGATAAACTAACTTGACCAAGTTATTTGTGGCTAGGTCCCTGACAAAATGATATCTTATACCAATATGTTTAAATCTCTTGTGATTTTTCTGGTTCTCTATTTGTGCAATAGCACTTTGATTGTTGCAAAATATGGTTGTCGACTCCAGTTGGAAGCCTAGATGGTTTAATAATTATTTTAACCACATAGCTTCAACTCCTTCCTTGGAAAGCTATATATTCTTTTTTTGTAGGAAAGTCCTATTGATGTTTGTTTCTTTGATGTCCAACTAATGGTTACACCATTGAGTTGGAAGCAAAGTCCAAAAGTAGATCATCTAGTGTCAAGGCAACCTCCCCAGTCCGCGTTGGAATATCCAGTTAAACCTGATGATTTTTCAACCCTTGTGTTTACAAGGCCAAAGTCGAGAGTTCCCTTCAAATATCTGAAAATACTCTTAACTGTCTTCCAATGTATTAATCCGGGATTTGACATGACCTGAACTACTGAACTAGAAGCATAAGATATAGACGATTGCCCACATCAAGCTCCAAAGAGCAGCTTGATACGGTATATCTTTTATCTCTTGACTTTCTCACTCTGAATTGGGAGAGTCAAGCACATTTAACTTCAAACTAGGTTCAATTGGTGTATCAATAGGCTTACAGTCAGCCATGTCGAACCTCGCAAGTTTTTCAACCAAATATCGTGGTTGGGAGATCAGAGTACATCATTCTTCACAATTTCTGTCTACTTGCATACCAAGACACTCATGGATCTCTTCTAAGTCCACCATATCAAACTCCATTTTAAGTTTTCTCCTTGATCTTTGTAAGAAGATGCAAGGAATTGCTCGCCAGCATACAGTAGTCTATATACAGTGCTAAATACACAAATGCATTCTCCTGAGATTATATGTAAACATTCTGATCTGCATTAGCTATGGTAAAAGCAATCTGCAGTAAGAACGAGTCAATACTTTGATACCACTGTCCTCATGATTGCTTCAGTCCATAAATGGACTTGTTCAATTTACATACCATGTTTTTCTCATAAGAACCCTTCACGAAGGGCCATGTAGACTTCTTCATCTAATAGTCCGTTCAAAAATGCAGTGTTCACATCCATCTGGTGCAACTCTAAATTGTTTTGAGCTGCTAGAGCCATTAACACCCGAATAGATGTCATCTTTACCACAGGAGAAAATGTCTCCGAAAAGTGAACACCGTAAACCTGTGAGTTTCCTTTCGCTACTAACCTGGCCTTCTAGCGATCCACACAACCGTCTGGCTTGTATTTGATTTTGAAAACCCATTTACAACCAACGACTTTCTTGCCCGTAGGTAATTCTGTCAGCGTCCATGTTTGATTTTTCTTCAAAGAAGAAACTTCATCTTCCATCGCTTCTTTCCATTTGATAGAATCTCCACCCTGTAAGGCATCTTGATAGGTAGTTGGCTCTTTGCGAGTCTCTTCATATGAAACTAAACCTCTATACTTCTTCTTCCTTTCCAACAATTAGTCATTATCTATGGTTTATAACATATTATATTTTGTGATATTGATCAAATTCAGTATCACAATATTGTCACTTTTATGGCTCTTGTATGTCACAATATGAGTTACATTGCAAGTTTATTGAGTGCATGTTATCCATAGAAAAATCAAATAACTTCAAAATCTAGTGAGCTACAATTTTTACCAAACCTTGTTCCCTTCCATATCCATCGAATTTTCCTTTTGTGTAATTCATAATATCAAGTGTGAGTGCAAGAGAAATGTGGAATAGCTGAAAATCATAGAAAGAAAAACTCTTTAACATTGAGGAGGTATCTAATGCTTAATTTCTTATATTTTTTTATATATATATCGGGACTACTTTGATAACTATAATAAGGTAGGCACTATAACAGTTCCGGGAACGGGTTTTGATTTTTCAGATTGTTTGATCAAAACTCAAGATAATGGCAGGTTATTAGCATATTGATGAACCGACCTTGAAGGGACCTCTGAGTGGTGTAGGAGTGAACGAACTTTAGTTTGGTAGGACTATTTTTTGGTGAAGTGGTAGTCTTCAACAACATTATTTAAAGACTTCCGTTCGTCATCGGCAAGTCGTTCAAAGTGTGCTCACCTTACTGAAGTTCTTGTAGGAGCCATCTTGTAAAAGACGGCTGTGGATGCTTATTAATACCTCAGTAATAGAAATGAAAGCCGCGGAGATGATGCCAAAGATCATTGATTTACTTTATTTGGAAAGTGGACAATTTCAAACGGCAGTCGACGTCAGGAACGGGAAGGAACTACGATTTATATTATCTAAACGTCCACTTCTCAGTCGGACCTAGATGAAATATGAGATCCTAGGCGAAGTAAAGACCCACTTACGTATATTATAGCAGACAATAGTACTGGACGGGTTTAGCTGCACAAACTTATACATAGCCCCTATATAGAGCCTTCATAGACCCAGGCAGGTGTCATCCTGCAGTCACCCGTGACGGAAGTTCTTCTTTTCGCTGCGACTCTCCTCTTTTGGACCAAAGATGGAAGATTGTGCGGGCAGGCTAACCGGGCAGGTTTTTCATTCGCACTCAATTTTCCGGTGGAGCATCAAAGTGATTGAAT